TGTGTGTAACATGTTGGGTCACATAAGTGTACAACATAACATTTTGTAAACAACAATGAAAATTGCTTATTTAATATCCTAAAATAGCAACAATTTAACATATACAATGAAGCAATAATAACAACATTAATGTTTTTAAATTCCTATTAAATAAGATATTGTAGCCTGATACATATTAAAGGGTCAAATTATGTTTAATTGTATATTTCCCCATGAGGTCCCCGCATAAGTATTTGTGTCAAAGCCCTCTGTGCTCTTTAACCCTTTTAAATACAGCTTTTTCGTCAATTCATGATAATGTCTAACTTGTTAGCTTAAGACAAGCTGATATGTGATATGATATGAAACTCACCCGTTTTAACCTAACGTCAGTGCTGCGCTGTGGGCTTCTACTCCTCCGAGCACGAGGTGACCTCTCCTGCTGTCTGCCCGATGAACGGTCTCTCCTCGCTGGCGACCTGTCCTTTCTTCTGTCAGGTGATCTACAAATACAGTTCACGAAGCATCTTGTAGGAAACTACTGACTACAAATAAAACGACTTGTTGATCATCCCCACATAACTACAATGTGGTTAACGAAACATCCAGTTAAAAAAAGGAGCAATCTTGTTTATTCGGCTGAGCTGTCATGAAGATAAACACAACAGGCTGTGGGGTATAAGGTGCTCACCTGCTGTCTCGTCGTCTCGGTGGAGGGCTGTTGCTGCCTCGGCCGGAGCCTGAACTGGATCGGCGAAGGCGCGGAGGACGCGCGGGACTCACTTTTTCTTGCTTAATTTTTGTCTTTACATTCCGGACAGGAGATTCTCTGTGTCGTCTCCTGTTGTCCATTACGAAATGAGCTTGCCTATTAGCTTCGTAAAAAGTAAGAGTCGTTCATACCAAAGGGGAGCATGAAAACAGATTCAAACCGCATTTACGAAACGTCCATGAACACTTCCGGTTCGAAGCTTGTTCGCTGAAAAAATGTGTCCCTCCTTTGAAAAGCAATTTAGTTCCACTTTCTTCAGAGCTTCGACGTACAAATTTAATAGAGTTTTTAGATAAATGAAACAAGAGAAATATTAATAATATACAATGAATAACATACTACACATTTTAACTTAAATAAATGAAATTATGTAAATAGCAAAATAAATATGGAAAAAATAAAATTTAAATGAATAAAAAGTGTCAGAGCATATACACCGCTGTTCAAAAGTTTGGGATCATTAAAGTTTTTAATGTATTTTAAAGAAGTCTCTTCTGTTCATCGTGGCTGCATTTATTTCCCCCAAAATACGGAAGAAACAGTAATATTGTAAAATATTATTACAATTTAAAATACTGGTTTTCTATTTTAATATACTCTAAAATATAATTTATTTCTGTGATGAAAAGCAGAATTTTCATCAGCCATTACTTAAGTGTCACATGATCCTTCAGATATCATTCTAATATGCTGATTTATTATCAATGTTGGAAACAGTTGTGCTGCTTAATTTTTACTTTTTTTGTTAACCTGTGATACTTTTTTTTCAGGATTCTTTGATGAATAAAGATTTCTATTTTAAATAAACGCTGTTCTTTTTAAAGTTTTATTCATCAAAGAATCCTGAAAAAATATTTTAATGAATCATAATAAATGATTTCTGAAGGATCATGTAACACTAATGGCTGCTGAAAATTCAGCTTTGGTCACAGCAATTAATTATATTTTAAAGTATATTAAAATAGAAAAACATTATTTTAAATTGCAATAATATTTTACAATATTACTGTTTTTTTTTTTTGTATTTCTGATCAAATAAATGCAGCCATGATGAGCAGAAGAAACTTCTTTAAAAAACATTACAAATCTTACTGATACCAATCTTTTAAACGGCAGTGTATCACTTTAACATTTAGTGCCACCCAGTTGCGAGGTTTGTCTCGTGTTTTAAAATCTAAACGTTAGAAAAATAAAACAATACAATATATTTCTATACAAATTATTTTAAAATACTAATTACTTAATAATAGTTATTGTTTTCCCCGATTATTTTGACTGGTTCACTCCTATGACCTTTTCAACGGCTCTGCTTGATGGGAAAGAGCAGTTGTTATAGCAACGGGAAACAACAAAACCAACCTTTTGCAGCGTGACGAGGGTGCTCGAATTCGTCCAAATCATACTAAAACACATAATTTGAAACATTTCTGTACATTTTCTTGACACTTCCACATTGTAACCATGATTCTCCCCACTGACTCCTTGCTGAAGTATGATTGTCCGGTGTTGGTGAGCAAGAATACAGAGAGGAAGTCTCCAAGGGTAAGCACAGTTATTGGATGTACGTTATACGACTAAAAACAAACCTGCAACCACCGTAAAGTATATCTTGTTGTTGTAATGAAGCCTGAACGTTAGTTGTTCTTATCTTCTCTCATATTTTATTTAGAGTCGCCCTTTGAAAGTGAGTCCCCAACAGATAGTAGAGAGCGGCCCAGTTCCACCTCCACCCAAACCCAAGAGCCCCTCAGCGGATGCCAGCAAACAGCAAACCGAAGAGATCCTTAATGCCATTCTACCACCAAGGTAAAATAAACTAAGAGGTTTATTAGTATATTTATTAAACATTTTCTTTAACTGGGTGCTGATACTATCATAACATGGTAGTTTAGTTGCATATTTGTTTATGTCACACAATGCTTTTAAAAAGTGTGGGGTCAGTAAGTTTTTTGACAAATACAAATTTCTAATTAAAATAAATGCTGTTCGGAATGCTGGCTCCCACACAAATATTAAGCAATGTTAAAAAAAATGTTTACTGACCACCAAATCTATTGGTAAATCTATCTACACAGGCTATTAGAATGAGTTCTGAAGGATCACCTGACAAGACTGGAGTAATGACTGCTAAAATTCAGCTTTGCCATCACAGGAATACATTTTAAAATATATAAATATAAAACAGTTGTTTTAACTTTAACAATACTGTTTATATTGTATACTTGATCAAATACAACCTTGGTGGGCATAAGAGACATTTTAAAAAATGTTAACAGACCCCAAACTTTTCAACGGAAGTATATAAATCTTAAAAATGGTTGTTGCAGGGAATGGATGGAGGACAGCCAGTTGTGGGTGCAGCCGGTGTCCAGTGCTCCGTGTACACGCATGGATGTCATTAATTTGCAAGAACAACTGGACAGAAGCCTGCAGGCGAGGCAGGCCAGAGAGACCGGCATCTGCCCTGTGCGCAGGGAGCTCTACTCTCAGTGCTTTGGTAAAAATAGACATATTGCAAATTAAGTGTCATATTAATAGCTCTTGAGATTTCCATGGCATTCCCTCTTTCAAATCTCTTAGATGAGTTAATCAGACAGGTCACCATTAACTGCACCGAGCGGGGTCTCCTGCTGCTGCAAGTAAGAGACGAAATTCGCATGACCATCGCTGCCTATCAAACACTGTATGAGAGCAGTGTGGCCTTTGGCATGAGGAAAGCACTTCAAGCAGAGCATGGAATGGCTGACATGGAGAACAAGGTAAATTATTACTGAAAGCATTATTCCGACTTTTTCTTACATTATTATACTTATATTCTAAAATAATTCAAAAATTATGAATATTAAATAAAAAAAAACTATTTATATACATAAAAAAAAATATATACATTATATATCATAAATGTAACCTATAACAATTTGTAACCGTAAAGAATATATTTTGTAAACAACAAAGCAACAAGCAAGTTAAAAAACTAAACCTATACAGTGACACAATTACAATAACTTTGATCTTACCTTATATTTTCTATTAAATACAAATAATATACTTCATATAAATCATGTTATATCAACTTGTTAGCTGAAGACAAGTTTACTTGTGATTATCTTCCTCTTGTAACAGAAAACAAAAACTATTACATATACACACAAAAGATATTTTGAACTTATAATGAAAGTCAGTGGTGTCCATCACAACATTAGACCCCATTGACTTTGATTGTATGCACACCAAAACATTTTTTTTTTCAAAATATCTTTCATGTACTGCAGAAGAAAGCAAGTCATTATTTTTAAAGTAATAACTGACAAGCACACATTAAATTCCAATTTTCTGCTCGCTGAGATACAAACTCTTGGTAGATTTTAGAGTTAGAGAGTGAGAAGCGAGATTTGGAGAGGTTGTTGAATGAGCAGAAGGCTAAATGTGAGGCCATTGAGAGACGGGAAGCAGAACGGCGGGAAATTGAGGAAAAGAAGCATGCCGAAGAGGTCCAGTTCCTCAAACGAACTAATCAGCAACTCAAGGTAAAGCAGAGATCATCATAATCATGATTTCTGACATTATTTTTTAGACTCATGTGCTTCCATTTATTTATTTTAGGCACAGCTGGAGGGCATAATTACCCTGAGGAATAAGGCTTGAATATTATTAGAATAATAATACACTAACTCTCATACTGTTTCAATGAATAAAACATTTATTAAAGCATCTGTTCTGAGTATTTATTTTTTTCCTCCAATTAAAAGAAAAAGGACATATGTAGATAAACAGGTACATGATCCACATTTCAACACTGCAGAATCAGGACATTGACTTAAGTTAAAAGCTCTGAAAATGCACTGTACTGAAATGAATTAGTTGTAGTCATAATGTTCAGGACGATGGCTGGTGCCACAGTATGAATAAAGTGCATTGGAAAGACTGCATCACAGATCAACCAAACCTTCACTTTTTCACAAATCACCGTGATTCCACACCAGATGTTCCAACCTAGCCACCGACTTGACCTTGGAAACGGATTGATGTGACTGGGTATCTGGCCAGGTATTATCGCTTAGCTCGTTTGGCTTTCTTGCCATCCGAGGGCATTTTTCTGTTCTTATTCTTGTTCTTGACATTGTGCGTCTCATAATAGCGGACCCCCACTTTCTTCACTTTCTGGGCACGCTCCAGTCTTCTTTTCTGTTGAGGTGGAAAAGTTCAACAGAGAGAAGGAGATAAGTTTGGTCTCAAATTTATGTGACATGTCTGGACTGAGGAATCAAGATGACTGAGCTGGGAGAACAGTGTATACCTCTTTAGATGTGAGTTTGGAAGGTGGTGCAGGCTCATCTTCCAGAGCTTTCCTCTTTTTACCCGCATTCACAGCTGGAAAACCAAAACAGGATGAGTGTCATTACTCACTTATTTGAATCACCAGACACCCCTAATCATTGACACATCTCTGAAAAGATTCTGTGGAATTATTTAGTGAATTCAACTGGATTTGCAAGCCTATTAAATATTTTTTATATTGCTGTCAATATTAACATTTAATATTATTGTCAATATTTAAATACTGTGAATATACTTTTAGAAAGAAATATGTTGTTCTTAAAAGAAATTATTTTATTCAGAAAGGATGCATTAAAATTAGTCAAAAGTGGCAGGAAAGACTCTTAAAAAGATTTCTATTGCAAATAAATTGTTCTTTTAAATCTTCAAATCATCAAATAAACCTTAAAATGTATAACTTTTTTCCACAAAAATATTAAGCAGAACAACTGTTTTCAACATTAATAATAATAAAAGCTTATTTTAAATTAGCATATTAGAATGATTCCTTGAAGTATCACATGACATTGAAGACTGAAGTAATGGCTGCTGAAAAACCAGCATTGCTATCACATGAATAAAATTTAAATATAAATTATCAAATATTTAAAAAAAAATTGCAAAAGAGAAAACTAGTTTTGCAATTTAAAAGTTATTTTAAATAAACCTTTTTGACCCCAAACTTTTAAACAGTATAAAATGATTACAAATATATATAAAAAAAATCCATTATATAACAAGAAAACAAAGAAATAAGTAAATAATAGTGCTTTGCTGTACATCAAATACACAGTTCTAGAGGCCATGTCTTTTAATACATAAACATTTGGCATTAACTTTGATTTCCCTTTCAGTCAGTCACTTCCGACTTCTAGGGGTCACACTTGGGAGCCCAGACACCTCTGACATCATTGAGAAAAGACCAATGAAACTGGCGAGCAAAATTTGCATAGCTGGCCATGCCCCAGGCATCCGGGTAAAAATAGGCCAGTGTGGCATTTGCTCACTCGTTCTGTTTTTCGGAGCCAATGCAGCATCTCTTTGGGAGATGCAGCACTGCATTGGCCTCTCAATCTCCTCTTCGTTGGATCTATAGAATAAGCAGCGGTTTCTTTCTTGCCCTCACACAGATAAGTGTAGTGAGAGTACCCCTGTGCTTCAATGCGATCTTTGAAAGCAAATTTCCTCTTAAAAGTGCAATTTCTCTAAAAGAGCTTCACGGATGGATTTGTGTGCGTTTACAACATGCCTTTCCATCCGTGTCCTTCTGGTTGCAGGTTGTACATCTCGCTCTCTGACAGGCACGATTGCTGTGCTCAGTGTTTGCTGAAGCAGCTTTTGTGGATGGTTTATGTTCTTCTTGTGAAGACATGGCTACCGGCACATTGCGCTCATGTCTTGTTAATTTTTAAAAAATTTTTTTATAAAGATGAAGAGTCACCTCAGCTGCTTCCCATCCTGGCCCTTCTACTCCTGGGTACGATGCCTCGATGATGTGCACTGAAGGAGAGCAAGGAGAAGTTGCGGGAACAGTTCTGCCGGATGAATTCCCGGGAACCTCTCTTTCCTCCAACTGCACGTGTTCTCTAGTAAGAGTTTCTGGGTGAGTTTGAGAACCTGTGTTTACCCAGGCAGCAGAGAGCATCAGACTTGAGTGGACTCCTCCACCCTGTCCTGATCGCTCTCGCTTGGTTGATTGGTTCTTGATTACTGAGTGCGACACTCAGCTGCACTCTGCCCCAGTTCCTTTCTTCCCGGAAGTGCACAAGGAGTTGATGAAATCGTGGAAGGCACCTTTCTGCTATAACACGATACACTGGTTCCTCTGTTCTCACCACCCTTGACAGTGGTCCAACAAGGAAATATACGGGGTTTCCCCGGGTGGAGAGCGATTGCGGTGCATTTGCACACAAGACGCCGCCACCTGGGAAAGCCATCCGAGACTCCTGTCTAGAGCATACAAGTTATTTCGTCCTTTGTGGTGAGAGCTTATGCTGCTTCTGGACAAGCTGTGTACGCTCTGCACGCCATGGCTGTCCTGCAGGTATTCAGGTCAGGGTCTGCACAAGGGTTGTCCCAACCTGGAGCATGCAGGAACTGTGTTCGGTGACTGACTATGCCCTCTGGCTTACGAAGGTCACGGTGCAGGCTCTGGGGAGGGCGATGTCCACAGTAGTGGTCCAGGAGTGCCACCTGTGGCTCAATCTGGCAGAGAAGCGGGATGCTGAGAAAATGCGCTCTCTCAACGCCCCTATTTCTCAGGTTGGTCTCTTTGGTGACACTGTTGAAGAATTTGCGTTGCAATTCTCCACGGTCAAAAACAAACAGAGGCCATTAAACACTTACTGCCTCAAACTCACCCAGAAACTCTTACCGGAGAACACGTGCGGTTGGAGGAACGAGAGGTTCCAGGGAATTCATCCGGCAGAACTACCCCATTACCCCCCAAGCAGTAGCCTCTGTCTGTTCATCGCCAGGGACGGCCCTCTGCGAGGACTGCTGAGGCCCCGCAACAGTCTGGGCCGGCAAGCCTGAACAGCGGCCAGTCAATGTGGCACAGCCAGTCCTTTCCTCAGGATGTTAAGAACCCGCGAAAGGTTTCGTAGCGAATCTGAGATGGGTGACCCAGGGAGGAGGGACCAGCTGACCAGCCTAGCTCCACTTCCACTGGGAGGACGGGAGGTGGATCCTGCTGGGCTCCGACTGTCTGCCACATAGCAGAGCAGTCACCATATAGTCATTAAAAGAGCAATTTCCTCCTTCCCTAGTCACACTCCTGGCATTTCTGGCCCTCCCATTTGCGACGGCCAGACGCTAAGATTGTGCATCAGAGCCTGTTTGGATGCAGATTCTCTGCCTCCTCATATTCTAAAGCAACAGGTCAGAACAAAACGAGTGAGCAAATGCCACACTGGCCTATTTATATCTGGATGTCTGGGGCGTGGTCAGGTATGCAAATTTTGCTTGTCAATTTCATCGGCCTTTTCTCAATGATGTCAGAGGTGTCTGGGCTCCCAAGTGCGACCCCTAGTGTCGGAACTTTGACAAAACGTCTCCGTTCCCTCCATCAGGGAGCGAGGGTTACCATACGTAACTGAGACATTAGCTGGTTGTACCTTTCTGTTGCTCATTCTTTGCACCATTCTGCTTTGCTATGGTTTCATTGAACACCTTCTCAGAAAGGCCTTTAGGAATTCTGTAAAATATCAAGACAACACTTTTCCAGGAAATCCTCAGCAGAGCTCCAGGACGGAATGCGGTATGTCTTCTGGATGTACTCTGCTTTGGCCCTCTCCAGCACCGCTCCAATGTGATCCTCTGGATTTCGGATCTTCTCCACTTGAACCTAAATGCAACAGATACAAAGTGAGCGGATGAAGCTGTTGGGATTGCCATATGTAAATGAATGGTTGAATTTAAGAGTCAAGGCCATCGTACCACTCCCTTCAGCACAATGTCAGTCTCACTGTCGTCGGAGGGATAGACGACGCCAGGACAGTCGATGAGAAAAATGCGTCTCATTAGTGTGATATACTGCCAGACCTGTCAGAAAGAAAGAAAGAAAACAGTTGGTTATGGCATAAACAAAGGTTGAGCTTGAGCCATCTGACAGAATGTCCACAGATTCATCAATGACCTCCATTTAAGAAACCACAAGACTGAAAACATTTCAATATAACGAACTGCATTTAAATATACGCAATTTATAATAACTTTCGACAAGTTAGCAAGCAGTAAATTAACTCTTAAGTTTATAAAACTAAATAGATTGTTTATGAATATTACTGCCTGGCCAAAGGCCTAAACAGTGATTCAGGCAAACATAACATTTCAACATAAGAAAAACTAGGTAAGGAAGCACAACAATTTTTTAAGCTATTAAAATCAAATCAAACCTATCTATCTATCTCATAATCGAACTAGAAAGACTGTTGTAAAAAGAAAGGAAAATAGGAGACAGAAAATGTCTACTAATTGAAGAATCACTCAAATCAGGGCACACGGGAAATTTTAAATGATACAATTTATCATTTAAAACAAACACAAGAGCGTGGAAGTCCAGATTTGTTTAGAATTTGATTTCAATCTGGCCTCCGTCAGAAATGTTTTTCCTTTGCCTTGCACTTTCACTCGCTCTCTGAAAAACCATTTCTCAGTTCCATGTTTGTACAAGAGGATAAATTTGACAACATAAAGTAATTTCACACAAAAACATGAATACACAAAAGTTGCAGCCAAAACCAAAATGCTGGAAACTTAAGCCGTCCAAAATGTTACCACATGTCAGGAGCTGGCAGGTAACCTTACACTCGCTAAAAAAAACTGAATCATTTAATGTCATGTACAAGAAGAATCCCTCAATCGTCTGATGTTCATGATCAGTACATGACAAACACAAGTACATGTTATAGGAACATCTCATCAAAAATGAAAGCTCTTAAATAGAAGACGACTTAAAATACAGTGTAATGGGGTTATTATTAAGTGTTTTTTTGTCATTTTTGGCCCCTGGTTCACAGCTTTTGTCAACATTCATATACACTGTATGGAAAATAGCAGCATGAACATTGTGCTAAAATTCTCCTTTTGTGTCCTTAGGGAGAAAAAATGTCACTCAGGGTTGGAATGGCATTAGAGTAAGCAAACTGATCATAGACTTTTTTCATTTTTGGGTAAACTATGCCTTTAAGAAAAAAAAAAATATTTGGCCCAAATGGAGATAAAGGCATGTGATTGGCTAATGAGAGAAATTTAAGGAAAAAAAACTGCTTTTCTCATTCAATATGATTATACAACAATAATAATAATTATAATGATATCAAATTACTTTATTATTATTTGTGAAAATATTATATTATTAGTTAAATATGAACATTAAAAAAAACAATAAAGAAATATATGACTATTGCAATAATATTATTGTACTGTAAAATAAGAATTGTATTTTATAGAACAAGTATAATTTCAACTACAAAATGTTTTTTTCTAAGATTATTTTTCTTAGAATTCACATGGATCCTACCTTTCAGGTAGGAAAACACAGAAATCCATATAGATATGTTAAAATCACATCCCTGAGATGGAAAGAAAAAGCTTCTGAGGTCTTACCTTTGTCTCACCAGCAAGGGGTGCCACGTTACAGACTTTTTTGGAGCGCAGGGTATTGATAACAGAGCTCTTTCCAACATTGGGGTAACCAATGAAGCCAACACTGATCTGCTTTTTGTCTGAGTGGAGCTGAGCAAAAATCAATATGGACATGTTAAGACTAGGCAAACGTCATTTTGAAAAGCAGCAATTAAATAGAAGAAATACACACATACTGTCAAGTCCTCTGATTTAATGTCGGTTTCATGGTATCGATGTCAGGAAAACAAGATCATCTTGGATCAACCCTTCTCCCAATAATTTGCACACATTCCCTTTCACATTTCATTATACACATTTAAAAAGGGGGCCCAAGAAATAAAGACTTCATACACAACCTACAAAGGCCTCTTAAATGTCATTACACCTGCAGATTTATTTTGCACGCATGGCAACCAGGATATTTTTGCACCACTGTTTTCTAACTCTTAAAAGAGTGTCCTGTCATATAACTCTCCACAAAATTGATGTTACATAAGCCCACTCTCCTTTTTAGTATTTCCAATTTTTTGTTTACGGCTGTGCTCTCAAAAATAGCTATGAAGCAGATGTGAAGACAGGACAGGAGCCCAATAGCATGGGAGGGTGCGGTGCATCTGGTACCCAACCAAGCCATTGCTTTCTACATCTGTGGCCATTACGGACCAAAAAACAGACTGACCTTGTCCTAAAACTGCAGCTTGAGTAGATAAATGACGTGGATCGAAACTGTTGTGTGTTTAAAACCTGTTACCCCCTGGTTTCTAAGGCATGATAATGTGTATGAGCATTAAAAAAATGCTGTAAATGTTTAAAGCCTCACCTTGCCAAACTGCCGCAGGAGCTGAATAAGGGAGCCCTTGCCGAAGGAGTTGGTAAGGCTGGCATGAAAGGCCAAAGTGGGGTGTTCCTGAGAAAGAACTGCAACCCAGCGTTTCTACAACATAGACACAAGAATAAGCAAGAATTAAAAAACAAAAAAGGGGCCACACATATAAAAATGTACATAGAATGATCCTAAATGTGAATGAACAACAGTATTCATTAACGTTCCTATGAATGATTTATAAAATGCCCGAAGGTCCAAAAATGCTCCTAAAAGCATCCCTCTTTATAAATCACATTTCATCATAAATTCAAAAGCACTGTGAACATATAAACATATAATTATTATATAATACCTATATACTGTATAATACCTACCACTATATAGACAAGTGATAGGCAAACTTGGCCCTTCCAGGTCACTTTCCTGCAGAGATTTGATCCAACCCTGATAACACTCACCTGCCTGTAGCCTTCTAGTAGTCTTGAAGACAATGATTAGCTGGTTCAGGTGTGTTTGATTAGGGTTGGAGCTAAACTCTGAAGGATAGTGGCCTGGAAGGGCCAAGTTTGCCCACCCGATATAGACAAAAATGTTTTGGTACACATCTCCTAATTATTGAATTCAATGGTTTCTATTACTACAGGTGTATAAAATTAAGCACTTAGCCATACAGTCTGCATTTACAAACATTTGTGGAAAAAAATGGGTAATTCGGAAGAGCTCAATGAATTCAAGTGTGGTATTGTGCCACCTTTGCAATAAATCATTGCCAATGACTTCCATAGCATGGGGAAAAATACTATGGAAGATAATTTGGACCATCAACAGTTTGTTTACCAACATTCTTCAAAATGTCTTCTTTTTTGTTCAACTGAAGAACGAAATTCATACAGGTTTGGAACAACATGAGGGTGAGTATAACATGAGAGTGGGCATAATGTGCCTATTTATCTTTCATACTTTTCATAATTGATGTTGAATTATTTTAATTACTGGTATGTGAGCATAAAAAATGTGTACATATGCTTTTCAGATGGAATACACATATTTTCATTTCAGTTTGTACCTTTAGAAATCACAATGTGATCCTCACTTTTGATATAGGAAGAAAAGCATGGAATTTAGAATCAAATCTGGACGTATGTGCTAAATTTGTACCTCGGTCTAGATTCTAAGTGATCTATGAAATTGTTTTTGATAAGACAGAACAGATAAAAAAAAAACACAAGGGCACAAGCTGCCTAACAAGAATCACCGCAGAATGATAAGTGATTCCCCTTAAGTTTCAACAACAAAATGAATGGGTTTCCCAATCATTTGCCTGTTAGGTTTACAGAAGACCTCAGTCATAAATCTGAAGGAGGTAGGCAAATGCTTTGTTGGCTTGAATGCAAAGGCCTGCAGCTTATAAAAAGCTGGTATAACTCCCTCATTCTTTGTTGTTGCATTTCAGAATCACCAATAACATGAATTACAAACAAGAATTACAGATGTGAAAGACGGAAAAATATCTGTCAGGGAAGGAGCCTTTAACTGGTTAACTATTACAAATTTTGAGCAAGCCAAGATAAACATGCCTATCTGTCAGTGAAACAAACTCCAGAAACAGTAGAATTGAATGTACGACAGGACACACTGCAGACAGTGGCCTTGTTCCAGAAACCTAGTGAGCAGCCTTGCTGTCTACTGCCTAAGGTGGTTCCATACATCCTAACTGTTCTGGAACAACAAAAGTGACCATTTTAGATCACTCTACATAGGAACTTGCTAAGTTAACAACACGATACTCATGTGACGTTCTACTCAGAGCAATTCATGTCCTCAGACTTGGAATTATGCATTTCTATGGCAACACTATCAACGCCTAAACAGCACCTCAATGATTCTGCAGTTGTCACATGGTACAAGTCCTAGCTCTCATATTTTATCAATACTTTTCACTACTGAATAAATAAGTATATTTATAATTAAGTTTTCTGACATATTTTCCACCAACTGCAACAGGATTTCAACAAACTGGTGTTAGCATTTTGCTAAGATAACAACATGAAACTCTAATACATGCAAATACATTGCACCCATATATATTGGGTAAAATAGTCTTTTTTTTTAATTAGACAGAACTGTTTTATCAATATTTTATGCTACTAAAAGAATAAGATTTATCATCAAGATTTCTGAGGTTTCTGTTAACCCAACATAAATGGATTAACAGAGGCTGATGTTAGCATGTTGCTAAGCTAATGTCACAATAATGACAGTATAGTTATGTCACAAATGCAACAGTCAGTTTTGTAATGGTTACTTTTTTGAAATAAGACATTAAGTTTTGACAAGCGAAGGTATCCTGCAAAACTTCTGGAACAGTAGCGTGCCTATGTCACCTTAAAATACCACCTACATAGGCAGCTCAACGGATTTTGGAACTGATACTGGAGTATTCCACTTTCATTTCTTACCGTGACCCATGTGGGAATGAGGTCACACTTATTGAGCACAAAGATTAGGTGTTTCCAAGGTTTCTCTTTCTTCAGGTAGGACTCAATGCTCTGGGAACGAGTGCCCATAGGGTCCCGAGCATCTAGCACCTGGATAATGACGTCTGAAGAGTCGATCACCTGCACAAAACATTGTTCATTTTAGGATATGACGTCATTGAGCAGTGCTATGGTTTTTCCTATAACTTTTAATGAAGGTGTTGGGAGATGGTAATAGCTACCTTATAAAGCTCGCCCCAGATCCTCTTTGACTGCCCTTTCTTAAAGATTTCCTCCCGAGCCTCTTCCCTGCAGTGACGGGAAAATGGAACGGCTTTAAGTCTTTTATTGAATCATGTCATGATATATAACCCAAGTTTGCTAGAAAAACAAGGCTATAGTTTGTTCCTGTAGTAAGTACAGAACTACATATTTTCAGAATCTCTAGAAGTCATTCGCTCACTTGACTCCGCTGTCCTCAGACACCAAATCACGGTCTTTGTCAGCACTGTAGCTCTGAGCAGAGACCTCTGCCTGTTCAGCAAAGTCCTTCAGCTCTCCCACAGACAAGATGGGCCTCTTTCTTTGTGCCTTTGGCCCAAACGTGGTTTCAAACGTCTCTGTGTCCAGAATGTGCACCTTGGAGTTCTACAAAAACCAGCAGAAGATCAGATGACAAACAGATTTCATGACAACTGTTTTATCGTCTTCATCATAAATCTTCATAACGTTTGGAATTTCTTTGATGAGGCATCTGATATTTTAGCCCTTGCAAGCAATTTGACAGCTCTCTGTGCTACTATTATTAATAAGAAAGAAGCCCCAATGATTTATGGTAGAGCAGAGTGTACTCATCTGCACATTCTATGGCTTACAAGAGTGTGTCAGAAAATTTTGGGCCACACAAAACATGATTTCTTCTATAAAGCATATACTAATATGGCTTTATTCACATTGCACATAAATCTATTTTGTTTTCTTATCTTATCTTGAGGATTGACTTTCTGCGTGATGAAATGGTGAAATCAGTTTGTTTAGACAGTGCAGCCTGCACTTTATCTACTATAGAAAAGATTTAAGCCTAAACACGATGCTAAGTGACATAATTCACTAAATGAGGGTCAACTTGTATTGTGGTGTATTTGGCCACAGCTCCAGAAAGCACTGCACACTGTTGAATCCTACACATGGAAAACTTTAAATCCGATCTAACCATTTAGATACATTCCAAAAAAATCAGATGGTAATCTGCAGTTCTCAAACTAAATGCAGATGTGGTTTACATCAAGTAAACACCAGCTTTCATGTGTTCTTTTAAATACATAGAATGTTATATACAGTATTGTTCCAAAGCTTGTGGTCAGTTTTAAAAAAATAAATTAATACTTAGTTAAATAGAAATTGTAATAATATTTCATATTACAGTTTTTACTGAGTTTGTGATTAAATAATTAAATAAATAGCCTTACGAGCATAAGACATATCTTTAAAAAATACATTTAATAAATCTTAACAACTCTAAAGTTTTGAATGCTAGTGTATATAGAACATATACTTTAACAAAAAGACAACTAATTTTAATAGCGTTAATACAGAAAAATATGCCTTAAGATAAAGTCATACAAAAGCCAAAGAATAATGAACAAAACTTCTTACAGTTGAAGTCTGTAACTGGACCAGGCTAAATTGCAATCTGTAATGACCTAAAAACAAAAGGGAAGCCATACCACTGTTGCAACAGAGGATGGAATAAAACAAGCAATTTACAGATCTTGTCAAAGCCAGTAACATTTCTCGTAAGAAATTCTACTTCTGGTAAAACTATTTCTTCGGAACAATTGACGTGGATGATAAAAAACAACCTGATTTGAGGCTAACCACCACATCACATGTTCAAAATATTTGCGCAAAGCATAAAAAAATGGGCGCAAACAATGGGCATTATGGCACATGCTGCTCAAACACCACAAATCAAAAAGAGAGGATGAAAATCAATAACTGACACAGTTTTACCAGTTCCCTACAAAAAAACAAAACAAAACACAGTGAGTGTGTCACAGTCCTCAGACATAGAACAAAAGTAAATTAGGACGTTCATTATGCAAAGTCCTAAAAGGTTTTGCTCACACATGGAACAGTTTAGATGTTGAAGCAAATCAACAACATTTGCAGAAGGAACATGAAGAACAGAGCAAAACCTTTTATTTTATTCTGAGCACATATATTTTGCTCTGTTCTTTACTACTGGCAGACAGCAGGCCTTTAGCTGCCAAAGAGCAAGTTCTATCACGGGTCACGCTATGCCCTCATTACACCGTCAAACTAATAAAATCACTTTACCGTTATCATGGCACAACAATTGTTCTTGTTGTGTTCTTATCGTAGCGCTGCATGTGTTACGTAAAGTCCACAACTTACAAGACATTTAGCCAAGAGGTGTTATGAAAAACTGTTTTCTCATTTAAATACAAATGCGAAAAGCCAGTTGTTCACAGGAACTGCCAGAAATGAGCAGCTGACCATTCAAGCCAGAAACATTTTTGTTTTAATAAGGTCATATTTTTTCTAATCAAATGACAACACACAGTATCATACACTGAATCTTCTAACTTTGGAACGATCTACGTAGACAAAAACTCTGTGTATCATAAAAAAGCACATCTAATGCCTCATTAACAAAGTATTATTAATCATTTTCGGTAATTGAGATGAAATGAGGTGAAATAAAATACAAACCTTATTACATGAAAACCTTAAAAAATGTGTTGCCTGAAATAAGTATAAGCTGAAGTGCTAAAATGACTAAAAATAAAATAATAGATTAAAGCTAAAGAGAAATATAAAAAAACCCACAAACATATAAAAATGACAAAAGCACATAAAATTTGAAATTAAATAATAAAAAGGAAAATTAAAAATAAAAGCAAATTAAAAATATTAACACTATAATAGTATATAAATATTATATACTCATTTCAAGCCCAAAGTTAGATGCTAGCATGTTGCTAACATTATGATATTCGGTATCATAAAAAAGCACATCTAATGCCTCATTAACTAAAAGTATTATTAATAATTTTCGGTAATTGAGATGAAATGAGGTGAAATAAAATACAAACCTTATTACATGAAAACCTTAAAAAATGTGTTGCCTGAAATAAGTATAAGCTGAAGTGCTAAAATGACTAAAAATAAAATAATAGATTAAAGCTAAAGAGAAATATAAAAAAACCCACAAACATATAAAAATGACAAAAGCACATAAAATTTGAAATTAAATAATAAAAAGGAAAATTAAAAATAAAAGCAAATTAAAAATATTAACACTATAATAGTATATAAATATTATATACTCATTTCAAGCCCAAAGTTAGATGCTAGCATGTTGCTAACATTATGATATTCGAATAGGCATAAAATTATATAAAATAGATTAATTTTTTTAATTGATATTTTCTGGTTATAACTGAATTATAATTAAATTAAGGATTCATGTTACTTGGATGGATTTATTTCACTGAGCTCATCACAATGCATTACTGGATCGCCTGCTCTGAAAAACTGCAAACCAAACTGCATGCAAACAATTAGCCTACCTGTCTTCTCACATCATGCCACATGGTGACAAAAAAACAAAACAACAACAACAGGATTTTTGTATAAAAACAGCATGCATGTGTAACTTGCGTTCATACTCACATGTGCTTTTATTCGGTCATGCAGCAAGGACATCGGTAGCTTAGTCTGTCTCATCACTACTCGGTACGGATCTTTCTTTACCGCGTTCATCTCTTCCTGGAATTTCTGTAAGGATGACTGCTTGATAACACGTGTATTGGCTGTAAAGGAAGCATATGGGAAAACAGAAGAAATATTCACATATTAAAACATAGTTACATGCAATATGGATTTTGAACGGTATGACATCAGAATAAGTGGCCTGTAATATTACTTAGAAAAGATGGCTAGTTCCCTCAATAAAAAGCTAATTCCTTTCAATCACACACACTAAGACTGATTAATAAAAATAAAAAAAATAAAAAAAAAAAAAATCCATTGCTCTTACCAAACCACTTGATGTTGGGCTCAACTCTGGCCACAGTTCCAGAAGCAACTGTGTTCTGGTACTGCAAGGGCTTGATCACCTTACCTCGACTGTTGCTGTGGGCATATAAATGAAAGAGATATACATGCTTCATCATAATTTAAAAACTTTAAAATAAAAAAACTTTTTAATAAAATAAAATAACAGCTCATTGTCTTGTGACTGGAAACCATAAAATTCACTGTGTTTGTGCTCACTTGGTAAATAAAGCTCATTCTGAGTCTATTCTGAATTGTTATCATTTTTTATATGTAATTTTGTAAATGACAGGTCTGATTGTTACCATCTCTGCTTCTGCCTGTACATATTCAACCGTTTGATGGTAGCACGGTCCCTCATGTTATTCCCTCCAGCTCCCTTGACCCGGTCTATGGGATAAAGAATGTTAAAAGAGACAAACATTGTTATATACAGGGACATATAGTGCAATGTACAGTAACTTTATATACACTTCATAACTGTGACAGATCGTTAAATCAAAGCACAAGGGCCACGATTAACAGAAGAGTCCTGTGTCACTTCCAAAGTCCACCAAATTATAGAGGTAAAAAAAATGTCTCTTATTATTATTAGGCTGCATTTATTTGATCATAATATGGTAAATCAGTAATAATGTGAAACAATATTGTGATTACAATTTAAATGAACTTTTCTATTTGAATATATTTTAAAATGTAATTTACTCCTGTGATGGCAAAGCTGAATTTTCAACAGCTAGTACTCTAATCATCAGTGTCACAGGATCTTTTAGAAATTTTAATATGCTGATTTGGTGCTCAAGAAACATTTTTTTTTTTTTTTTATTATTACCAACGTTTAAAAACACTTGTGCTGCTTAATATGTTTGTGGAAAAAGTGATACTTTTTTCAGTATTCTTTAATTAATAGAAAGTTCAACAGAACAGCATTTATTTTGAATACAACACTGTAAATTAATTTTGATCAATTTAATGTCCTTGCTGAATAAGATAAAAATCTTTCTGACCCCAAACTTGAACAGTAGTGTACAATTTGTAGCATTTGTCCCTCGATTACATAAAAAAAAAAAGTTTACTTCGGATCACGTTCAGCGTTCATGTGATCACGTATCAATAAAATATGCAAATAGTTTAAACGTGAAATACTGCTTTTTGTTTAATAAGCAGTTTATTATGAGCAGTGTAAGAAATGAATTAGGGTCTGGATCAAAATGGCATTAAAAGACAGCAAACAAACAAATACCCTGGATATTTAAAATGTGACAGCTATTGTAAGTGACAGCCATAATTGCTCAGACTGACAATTTATGATAATTAAATTTAAGCATTTGGCATAATGTTCTCATAATGGTGAAAAATTCTCCCTTTTAAGTCAACTGTAGAGAGCATATTATCCCGTAAAAATAAAGATTTCTGACACTGATTCATTTCTGAAAAACATTCAATCATTGTGGTGGCAATCTAGAACGAGTTTGTAATTCATTTATTCTTGAACACTTATAAATGGCAGGTAAAAAACGGCACTTTGGTACACAGACATTATTAGTCTTAACAATACAAGTGCCAGCAGCCTCTGATGGGACACCTGAAGGCTTGGCAGAAGTAATGGTTACACGAAATCAACGAGTAACCCTGTAAACATAGAATAAAGTTGCTCTAACAACAGGCAACGGTGAAAACATAACTATAGAACTTCTCGTATAGACTATTCCTCAACAAGAGTTAGCTAATGCTTTAGCTGGCTAGCAGTTAGCGGTTTATTTAATCTTACCGGGATTACTGCTGGAGTTTGAGGGATTTATGGAGCTTTTTCCCTTGAATTTTGGCTTGACCATTGTGATCGATTACTCCGGGACAGTCCTAGTACTGCAAATAATGAAATATAACAGAGTTTTAGTCCACTGTAGATTTCCACGTGTTACAATAAACTACACAAACCCGGAAATGCGTCATCATTTAAGCGACGACTTTCCCCCCGTTTTTTTTCTTCCACGCAGAGCAAAGCTGTCAGTAGCTTATCAAACCGAAATCAGAGCAAGTTAAGAGCATCTACAAAGCCACAATTTAATTTAGCCATACTTATGTCAATGTACGCTAGCTAATAAACGGTCTATGGGTGGTTAACATATTCCGAGGAAATAAAACTATTTCAAACACCGTTAAACGTCTTTAATAGTTATTATGCATGAAGTTTTATGACCTTAACAATTGATTAACTGCCTGGAGTATTTGCACTTTTAAAAATGCATGTATAACACAACAGAACCATTAAAATGAAATTAACAAAACTAATTGGTTCATTAATAATTTAGCCTAACTTAAAATCTTGATGTTGTTGAAAATATCATGCGCCAGTTAACATGTTTTACATTTCCAAGTCTTGTTTACTTTTCTTTTTATTTGTTCAATACATCTGGGTCTGAAGCAGCACAAAGCTGGTAACCCTGAGCTATTTGTTTGACTAAGCATTAAAAAAAAAAATAAATAATAATAATTCTTTTTAGACCAACACAGCATCAATGCAGTTATCGCTCCCATATTGTTTAATTAACAGGACAAACATATTTAATTAGGAAAACTCTTTTATTTGCATTTTATGTTAGAATGACTTGATAATGCACACATTAAATTCATGCAGGACTCCGCATACCCAGAAGAGGGCATGCCGGGATAGTTGTTGCTTCAGTTGCATTGTCCTGTCCCATGTCTTTGAGCTTCAACCGGTGTCTCTTTGCTACATTGAATCAAAACTTTGTCTTATGCTTTTAGACTGATTAAAGAGAGCCGTTTGAACTCTTAAATTTGACGTTACAACAAGATGTATGACTTACCTGTTTTCTTACAGCATGTTCTACTCTACAATATTACATTCCACTCAAGTTAAAGGAAACAAATTGGAAAAAGGAACTATAAACTTCCATATTGTCAAAATAGAATTAAAGCAAACATTACACAGATGCATTTAAACGGTTTTCAGCTTTGACCAAAAATACATGTTATGCTGCCAGCCGGTGTATTGTGTAAACTTAAAACCTGCACAGAGCCTGTGTGGAATGCATAGATAATGGCTTCTGGGCGGCCCACACAGTCAATGAGAACCAGGCATACCTTGTATAATACTAGTATTCTATAGACATATCACTGGAATCTCGGAAAATATCAGAGTTTGATGGTCTTTAATGGTTTGATGTTTCTACTAAGCTGAGATTTTATTTATAAATTAAAACTTATTCTTCTTTTCTTTTCTTTTATTCCAACATAATAAACAAAATTATACGTTTCCTACATTTTTTAGGCGAAAGAAATAAATGAAAAAAAAGTATAAGGAATGAAACTCAGTATAAGGAATAACTTAAGTTTCATAGTCTTTTGAGAGCAATGGAAACTTATGCACCGATTTGCACTAATTTTGTAGAAACAGTTCAGTATCTGTTTTTTTTTTTCTGTCATGTTTTTCTCCAGTTGTTCGCTTTCACTCAGTTAAAATCAAATGTGACAACATCAGAAATGCACTGCAAATAGAGGTCAACCAAGAAAGAAAACAAAAACAATGCATACATTTTAAGACCCACATTTCTCTGACATCCAGCTTGCTTAAACAAGAAGCTGAGATCATAAAAGAAAATGAGAGGCAAATCCTCATGATTTTCTCAGAGGACTGTCTCTGAAAGGCTATTAAATTTGAATGGAGTTGCGGTTGCATGAAATTCTATATTTTGTTTCAAATCCTTTTATGAAAGCTCCAGACTCTTTGCTCATTTTTGTGACTGCTTGGTATAAGCCACGATGAAAACAATCCTCTCCAAAATTGGACTTGATTCAAACAGTACATTGTTGTCTATGAAAAACTGTCATCACGATTATTTGAAAATTGCTTATGAATAGTATTAGAGCAATACATGATTTGGCTGCACTGAATATTTGAATATTAAAGAGCTAGATATTTAAAGAATATCTGGAGAAGGATGTGTAGAGACAAATTTTGATGTGCAATTGTACATTTTAAACATGGTTACATTTGCCAGATATCATCATAGTAAATAATATGTAAATAAAACTGTTGTTCCCATTGCACTGGAATGGTGAATCTTTTTTCTGACACTAAAAGTCAAGTGAGGACACCACAGTTTCAAGCTAAACACTAAATAACAGCCCAGGTTAACTCTTCTTAGATAGATAGAATAGAAGATACTGAACAATATCCTAAAAAAAAGGATTCAGCATATTTTATTGAGCAATTCAGCAGCAGCTGCAAACAGGTGTGCTCCAACAATGGATGCCAGAGTGAGAGGTATTTTTTAAGTTGGCTTGCTGATAGGTCTACTTTGTTTCAGTCAGAGAGGGAGAGTTTGCTTGTTTGATTTTTCCGTCAAGATTAGGTAAAGTTGCAGGGTCATGAATCATGATATCCCTTTAGGTATTCACTTAATCTGTTCTCAGTGCTGCCAGTAAACTGCCCGGCAGCCACACGGGAGAAAGTAATGATGGATCGAGACCATAGCTTTTGCTGGATTTACTAAGCGGGCTATTTGTTGAGAGCCTGCATCATCTTTATCATTCAGGTGTAGGCTACACTTGACTGAAATAAATACTTCAGACTTCTTACATGAATAAAAAAAAATAAATTTGCTTTCCTATTTCCAAAAAGCAGAAAAGGAAAGTAATTGTAGCATCATACATATATTTGTACAAAGAAGAATACTTCTTTATTTGTTTGTTATTCCTTACAGGTGAAAAATTCTGTTATTATGATTTATATGACAGAAAGAGCTTTATTACCAAGTGTGCTTGCTCAAGGAATTTTTCTTGGTAATGAAGCTTTCATTGCACACATATAAATACAACACCAAAAATAAATTATTAAAATTACAGATTAAATTATGAAAAGGTATAAAGACACTGGATAAGTAAGAATAGACATATATACAATATTATGGATAATATGAATATGAATAAATAAGAGTGAAAATAAAGAGAAGTGAAATAATATGCAATTGTAGATTAATGTTTATATTATTTATATTATAATAAATATTTGTATTTATTTCATTTATATGATAACATTTACATTCATATTATTTATATCTCATATCTATATCTAATATGATCACATACATTTAATATTCTTGTATTCATATTATTCATATTATGCATTAATATTATTCATAAATGTTTGTTCTTAAATAATAATGATGAAACCTATAGATATGTTCAATAATATTTAGTGTTTGTGTAAAATTGATGTTTAAAGTCAACTTTACATGAAAATTGAAGCACAAATGTGTCACGTGATCATCTGCAGTGCAGATATGGACCTCCAGCCTCAGAGTTAGCTTTCAACAGTCATCATGGCCTACAGCCTCATCACCCCTTCTGCAGTAAATTATAGCTGAGTCATTGGTAAATGATATAAGATTAAAGCTTAAAAAAAAAGAATTGAAAGCAGACAGTTTGTCCTTTTAAAAGACCAAATGCTATCAATTATTCTCATCAGCAAAGGGAAGTACAGATAAAGCTATACTTAAACCAGGATTTAGGCTAAACAGGTCATTTCAAACATCAAGTTAAATACCCTATATTGGCAACACTTGACTACTGGCAAAACAGGGAGGAAAAACACTAACAGACTAAAGACAAAAACAGTTACTCTTTTATGCCAAAGTAAAAGGATAAAAGTGTAGACAAATTAACATTGTTTAACCTTACATTTACATTTTATTCATTTATTTTAAGAACGTGGGAATGGAATGTTTGTGCACTTTGTGATTTTGTATAATAATACAAGAAGTCATATGCACACTATCCACAGTTCTCACACCAGTGACAGCCAGTTACCACGACTGAACACTGTAAGTCATTACAAAAGCCAAAATCTTTGTTTATAAAATCATTGTTTTCCTGACATTCAAAGACACGCGGCGGTTTGACTGAAACAGCTTTCGAAGGAAAAAGCCAGAGGCTGATTTTTTGTAACAGAGTGGTGAATGTTATTGGCAAACATGTGGAAATGTAATATGAGCATCATCTGTATCTCAACAAGTGACCTCACAATTCATTCCTGACAATCACGGAGGCTTTCTAGAGACTTCTAATTCACATTACTTGTAACATTGTTATTTTAGTAAGGGCAAACCATTTACAGGATAGTAGTTATTATATTAACAGATTCATAAGAAAAAATCTAAACATTAGGTAAATATGAATGCAAAAAAAATGACACAAACAAAGAGAAACATAAGTGGTGATGTGATCTTGAGTTTATAAATGTAAACACTGAAATCTTTCATCTGTTTGTAAGCATATATCGTTTGAACCAAAATAAGAGCTTCTGGTTAAACAAAAAGTATCCCAAATTCACAATGATCTTTTATAAACAGTGCAATTAGGCTGTTTCCCCCTCAATGTTCTTCGGTCAGAATATGCTGCGGTTAACTTATTATAATTTTTTTGACTAAAACATTTGAACTCCTCTTTGTCGCTAGACAAATTCCAGATCCAGAAGATGCTGCAGGCTAAAAGGTACATGCCTCTTTCATATCGAAACCTCGCCTCAGGATAATCAAAACATGCCTCATCATGACAGATATTCCATTACGTTGAATTGCTGTGTCTTATGATTTCAAATGTGCATCTCTGTATAATATTTCAGCAAGATACATTAGTCATCTTTATCGGACAGCAATGTATAGCAAGCATGAAACACTGCAGGCTTCAACTGAAATAAAATATTTTATGTTGTCAGCGCCACCACTTCTTAAAACACATACTTTCTTCATGTGTATAACCTTTGCCCCAATTCTACAAGAAACGAATAAAGGTGTTTGTTAATGAAGTTAAGAAGCCAAAATGTTTCAAAATGTAAAGAAGTCCAGGCACAAACTGGGGTCAGCCACAAAAAAGTGATTTACTTGTTTGTTTGCTTATTTATTTAACAAAGTGTACCTAGCATTATTGTAACAATGAGTAGAAAAA